AGGAGGATGTGCAAGGTCGCGAAGGGAGAAAGGGAGAGGAAGAGGAGGATGTTGCAAGGTCGAAGGGAAGGGAGAAAGGGAGAGGAAGAGGAGGATGTTGCAAGGTCGAAGGGAAGGGAGAAAGGGGAGATGAAGAGGAATGTTGCAAGGTCGAAGAGAGGATGTTGCAAGGTCGAATTCACTCTATTCAGATGAACGTTTTTTTGCTGTGATGACCCACGTTTTTTGCTGTGATGACGTCACTGGAGAGGTGATGAGAGATGAGGCTTCTTTGGTTTACTTGTGAATATCGTTTAGTCTGTGAGGATGCGGGGACGAGTTGGGGAAGAAAAACTCACTAAGTTTACTCATAAGAAGAGTTTACTCATTAAAAGAATAGATATTCTTGATGATGACAGGAACGAGTTCATGAAGAAAAACTCACTCAGTTTACTCTTCAGAAAAAAAAACGTTTATTCATTGAGAAAACGTTTATTCAAACGTTTATTTAAAAAATAAGAAAACGTTTATTCACAGGAACGAATTGAGGAAGGAATGCTTATCGAGTTTAGTCTTAAAAAAAAAACGTTTATTGATGGAGATAACAGGAAAGAGTTGGGGAAGGGAAGCTTAGTCAGTTTACTCATAAGAAAAAAACGTTTATTGATGGAGATAACAGGAACGAGTTGGGGAAGGAATATTAAGTTTACTCATAAGAAAAACGTTTATTCATGTAGACAACAGGAAAGAGTTGGGGAAGGAAAGCTTAGTCAGTTTACTCATAATAAAAAACGTTTATTGATGGAGAGATAACAGGAAACGAGTTGGGGAAGGAAAGCTTAGTCAGTTTAACTCATAAGAAAACGTTTATTCATGTAGACAACAGAAAAGAAATTGAGAAAGAAATGCTTACTTGAGTTTACTCTTAAAAAAAAAATAAAACGTTTATGATGGAGATAACAAGGAAACGAGTTGGTGGAAGGAAAGAAGCTTAGTCAGTTTACTCATAAGAAAAACGTTTATTGAAGGAGATAACAGAGAAAGAGTTGAAGGAAAAGCTTAGTCAGTTTACTCATAAAAACGTTTATTGATTGGAGTAACAGGAACGAATTGAGAAGAAAACTCACTCAGTTTACTCTTCAAAAAAAAAAAAAAAAAAAAAAAAAAAAAATAATCATAATAATAAAAAATAAATAAAGTTTATTCATTGAGAAAACGTTTATTCAAACGTTTATTTAAGAAATAAGAAAACGTTTATTCACAGAAACGAATTGAGGAAGGAATGCTTATCGAGTTTACTCTTTAAAAAAGAAAACGTTTATTGAAGGAGATAACAGGAACGAGTTGGGGAAGGAAAGCTTAGTCAGTTTACTCATAAGAAAAACGTTTATTGAAGGAGATAACAGGAACGAGTAAATGAAGAAAAACTCACTCAGTTTACTCTTCAAAAAAAAAAAAAAAAATAAAAAAAAAAAAAATAATAATCATAATAATAAAAAATAAATAAAGTTTATTCATTGAGAAAACGTTTATTCAAACGTTTATTTAAAAAAAGAAGAAAACGTTTATTCACAGAAACGAATTGAGGAAGGAATGCTGACCGAGTTTACTCTTAAAAAAAAAGAAAACGTTTATTGAAGGAGATAACAGGAAAGAGTTGGGGAAGGAAAGCTTAGTCAGTTTACTCATAAGAAAAACGTTTATTCATGTAGACAACATGCTTACTCAGGTTACTCTTAAAAAAAAACGTTTATTCATTGAGATAACAGGAAAGAGTTGGGGAAGGAAAGCTTATTTAAAAAAACGTTTATTTCATGAACAAAAGGAACGGAAAAAAAATGTTGAGTTTACTCTTAAAAAAAAACGTTTATTGAAGGAGATAACAGGAAAGAGTTGGGGAAGGGAAGCTTAGTCAGTTTACTCATAAAAAGAACGTTTATTCATGAACATAAAAGGAACGAAGAAAAAAAATGCTTACTTGAGTTTACTCTTACAAAAAGAAAACGTTTATTGATGGAGATAACAGGAAAGAGTTGGGGAAGGAAAGCTTAGTCAGTTTACTCATAAGAACGTTTATTCATGGATATAACAGGAACGAGTAAATGAAGAAAAACTCACTCAGTTTACTCTTCAAAAAAAAAAAAATAAAAAAAATAAAAAAATAATCATAATAATAAAAAATAAATAAAGTTTATTCATTGAGAAAACGTTTATTCAAACGTTTATTTAAAAAATAAGAAAACGTTTATTCACAGAAACGAATTGAGGAAGGAATGCTTATCGAGTTTACTCTTAAAAAAAAAAAAACGTTTATTGAAGGAGATAACAGGAAAGAGTTGGGGAAGGAAAGATTAGTCAGTTCACTCATAAGAAAAAACGTTTATTCATGTAGATAACAGAAACGAGTTGAGGAAGAAATGCTTACTCAGGTTACTTGAGTTTACTCTTAAAAAAAAAAAAACGTTTATTCATGAGATAACAAGAAAGAGTTGGGAAGGAAAGCTTACTCAGGTTACTCTAAAAAAAACGTTTATTCATGAACAGAAAAGGAACGAATTGAGAAAAAAAATGCTTACTTGAGTTTACTCTAAAAAAAAACGTTTATTCATTGGGATAACAGAAACGAATTGAGGAAGAAATTCTTGCCGAGTTTACTCTTGAAAAATAAAACGTTTATGATGGAGATAAAGGAACGATTGGGGGAAGGAAAGTGTTACTTAAAACGATGGATAACAGGAAAGAGTTGGGGGAAGGAAAGCTTAGTCAGTTTACTCATAAGAAAACGTTATTCATGGAACATAAAGGAACGAATGAGAAAAAAAAAATGCTTACTGAGTTACTCTTGAAATAAACGTTTATTCAATGGAATGTTGAGGAAGAAATGCTTACTTGAGTTTAAAAAAATATAACGTTATGATGGATATAATTAGAATTGGGAAAGGAAAGCTTGTCAGTTACTCATAAAAAAACGTTTATTGATGGAGATAACAGGAAAGAGTTGGGGAAGGAAAGCTTAGTCAGTTTACTCATAAGAAAAAAACGTTTATTGATGGAGATAACAGGAACGAGTAAATGAAGAAAAACTCACTCAGTTTACTCTTCAAAAAAAAAAAAAAAAAAAAAAATAATAATCATAATAATAAAAAATAAATAAAGTTTATTCATTGAGAAAACGTTTATTCAAACGTTTATTTAAGAAATAAGAAAACGTTTATTCACAAAAACGAATTGAGGAAGGAATGCTTATCGAGTTACTCTTACAAAAGAAAACGTTTATTGATGGAGATAACAGGAACGAGTTGGGAAGGGAAGCTTAGTCAGTTTACTCATAAGAAAAACGTTATTTGATGGAGATAAAGGAACAGTTTCATGAAGAAAAAACTCTACTCAGTTTACTCTTAAAAAAAAAAAAAAAAAAAAATAATAATAATAAAAGATAAATAAAGTTTATTTCATTGAGAAAAGTTTATCCAAACTTTATTTAAAAAAAGAAGAAACGTTTATTCANCCGTATTTCACATTTTACATAAGGAGGTTTTTTGACTCGCGAGTTGTGGGATTCTCATTACTGCCCACTTACGGGTCGCTTTCTGCCTTCTATGCCCTCTTTTCTCTTTCCATACGTCTGTCTCTCTTCCTTCTCTCCCCCTCCCTCTTCGCGTCTCTCCTTCATTCCTTTCCTTTCGAATCCGTTTCCCTTTCTTTCTCTTCCTTTCCCTTCTCTCCCTTCCCTTTTATTTCCCTCCCCTCTCCCCTCCTCCCCCCTTCGCTCGCCCTCCCATTCCCCTCCCTCTCCTCCCCCTCCCTTCCCATTCCCTTCCCTTCCATCCCTTCCCATCCCTTTCCCTCCTCTCACTTCCTTTCCTTTCCCTCCCTCCTCTCCCCTCCCCTTTCGATCCCTCCCTCCTTCCCTTTCAAATGCCTGTCCCCCTACCCTCCCTCCCTCCCTGCCCTATATTCCCTTTAAATGTCTCCCTCCCTCCCTCCCTCTTCCTCTCCGCCCTCAGTCCCCCGGTGTGCCTCCCTCTCCTCCCTCTTTTCTCAGTGCTTTCTCAAGCCCGCCCTCATTCGCCATCATAATCGTCCCTTGCCTCCTCTCCGTTACTTCTACTTCTTTCCTTCTTCCGTCCTCCCAGCTTTTTTCCGCTTTTTCTTACTTCTTCTTCTTCTTCCTCCTCCTCCTACCTGCCCGCACGCTCCCTTCTATCCTCCTCCACTTCCTGCCTTCCTCCTCCCTCCTCCCACCCGACCTCCTCCTCCCTCCTCTTCCTCCTCTCGTCCTCCTGCCTCCTGCCTCCTCCCTGGCCTCCTCCTCACTCTTTCAGTCATAAGGTCAGCATACTTCTGGTCTGGCGGAGGAATCAATATTATCCCAAAAGGTCAGCTGACATCAGTCACCCACAACATCGCTCCATTTTGCTCTATCTCACCCATCATTCTTTGTTCCTTCTTCTTCCTCTCTCTTCCCTCTTCCTTGCTTCCTTCATCTCTTTTCATTTCCTATCTTTCTTTATAGCTCTCTCGTACCTTCCTTCCCTCTTTCCTTCCTCTCCTGTTCCTACCCTTCTTTCCTTCATTTATCTTCTATCCTTTCTTCGTTCTTTCCTCCGTCTCTCTCGTTCTCGTTCATCCTTTCTTCAAACTGTTTTCTTATGCCTTTCCTTGTCATTCATTCAATCCTTTCTAAGATGCTTTCATTCCTTCATGCTGCTCGTTTCTTTCCTATCCTTTCATTTCCTTTTCTTTCTTTCTTCATGCATTCTCCTTTCCTTGTTTTCCTCATGTTTCTTTATTTCTTAATGTCTCTCTTCTCTTAGGCATGGTCTCCCTCATTCTTGTCTTTGTCCTTCACCTTAGCTATTATATAATTCCCTTGTTTCTCTCCATATCCGTTCCTTCCTTCTTTCTCTCCTCGGCGTTCGCTTGCGTTCTTGTCATTCTCGATCTCCGTTTTTCATTCTTTGGTCTGTTTTTCTTGACCTTCCTTCGGCTTTCGCCGCTTTCGCTGTCTTTATTCGTACCTCTAACACAATATCCTTCGCTTCCTGCAACTTTCTTCTTTCCGTCGCCTTCCGCGCCATGGTCCTGTCCTTTCCCCATCCCCTAGCCCTCCCCTCTTCCCCTTTCCGCTCTCACCTCCACTCCCCTCCATTCCTTCCCTTCCCTCCCATCCCCCTTGCTCTAGCCCCCCACAGTGCCTTCGCCTCCTCTCCCCTCCGCTTCCCTAACCATTCCCCTCCCTCCTCCCGTGCTCCCATGTTCTTCCTTGTACCTCGGCGCTCGCCCCTCTACGACCCCCACCCCCACCAGTGGCCTCCCTCCTCTCCCCTCCCCTCACCTCTCCCATGCCTTTCCTCTCCCATTTTCTTCCTTTCCACCCTCCCACATCCGCCCCTCTACGCCCGCCACAGCCCCAGGCCAGTTGCCATGCCCCTCCTCCTCCCTCGCCGTCTCCCTCTCCCATGCCTCTCCTGCCCCATTTCTTGCCTTTCGCCAGCATCCGCCTGCCGCCCGTCTACCCCCCCACCCCGCACCATAGTGGCCCTCCCCTCCTCTCCCCTCTCACCCTCTCCCTCTCCCATTTCTGTCCTTTCCCCTCCCCCGCCCTGCCCCCTCTTACGACCGCCACGGCAGATGCTCCGAGGTGGCCACCGACGCGACACGGAAATTCCCTTGCCGCAAATTAAGAGAGCACCAAATTCCTGGCCAAGCCAAAGCCGATGTGATGAGGTCGTGTTAAAACGGGTCCTTACAATTTCCTCTTTCTCATTCTCGCCGGTGGTCTCATCTTTCTCTCTATTCTGGTCGGCGTTCTTCCTCTAGTTCTAATGCTCGTTCTCTTTCGTCATTCCTATTTTCGAATTAATCTGTTCCTTTGCTTTTTTTTTAATCATTCCTTTTCTCTCTCTTTTTAATTTTTATCATTCTCTTTGTCTGCGTTCTCATTGTTTACGCTCTCTGTTCTCATTCTCTGCCTATTTCTCTTGTCTCTTTCTCATTTCATGCTCATGTCATATTGTGTTTGTTTTCTGTTCTAGTGTGGGGAAGGAGAGGGAGAGGGGAGAGAGAGAGAAAGGGAGGAGAGGGAGGGGAAGGGGAGGAGGGGAGGAGGAGGGAGAGAGGAGAAAGAAAGAGAAGAAAGAGAGAAGAGAGAAAGAGAGAGAAAGAGAGAGAGAGAGAGAGAGAGAGAGAGGAGAGAGAGAGAGAGAGAGAGAGAGAGAGAGAGAGAGAGAGAGAGAGAGAGAAGAGAGAGAGTTTACAGATTATAACAGGCAGAATTATATTACTCATCAATAGATAAAAAATATGAAAAAATGCATACGAGATAAAACAAACAAACACACACATATATGCTAACTTTAGATAAATGAAACAGAGAGAGAAAAGAACTTAAAATAGATTAAGAAGGCAAATAATAATGAGAAAATTACCATAATGACAGGATATCTATATAAAGACAAAAACACTAATTACTGTGTCTATACACATGATCCTCACAAAATATTCCTCACTAGGACTCAAAAACACATGGGTAACACGAGTAAATAAATGAATAAGCATAATAAATAATAATTAATATAATAATAAATAATAATAATAATAATACAATAAATAAATATATATATAATAAATAATAATAAATGAGCATAAAAATAACAAATAAAAACATAAAAAAGTAATAAGTAAGAACGGTGATAATGATAATAAAAACACTGAGCGCATACCTCCGCCAAGGCAATGCACAATATTTCACACTTGAAGAATTACATTTAAAAACCACCTGCTTTCTGTGACCTCGTAAACATAATAAATGACTAATAATAATAACCAATAAAATAAATAATAATATAATAACAATAACAATAACAATAATAATAATAATGAATAACAATAATAATAATAATAATAACATAATAATAATAATAATAATAATAACATTATAATAATAACACTAATAATAATATAATAACAATAATAATAATAACTAATAATAATACAACAATAATAATAACAATAAAACATAATAATAATAATAAAAATAATCATAATAATTAAAAAAATAATAATATCAATAAACTGCCACGGGCATCTAAGTTAGGCGAAGACACACTCTCGGTAAAACATTCATATAAATCTGTTCATAACCTTTTGATTAATCCTGCTAACGAACAGACAAATCAACGAACTCACTAACGAACCAACGCTACCAGAAACATAAAATTAATGACATTTAATAAAAGAAATAAACATGTCAATTAAGATCATAAATTTACCAAACGACAGAAAAAGATACATATAAACAGTTGAATTACGAAAGAAACGTGGAAAACTGGAAAAGAATATAGATAAATAAACAGACATATAAATAAATAAAATGGTTGGATAAAAAAGCGGATTTAAAGACAAGAACTGAATCAGGTCACAGGAGGGGGAGGGGGGGAAGGGGGGAGCAAGGTCATGCGATTTGAAGAAAGTTTCACCGACTACAAACAATAAAGACGATGAATAACAATAATGATAATAATAGTAATAAAACAGATACTAATAACAATAATGATAATGATGATATATAATACTATACTACTACTAATAATAATAATAATAATAATAAGTATATATGATAATGATTACAATAATAATGATGATAATAATACTAATAATAATACCAACAACAAAACTATGATAATATGAATATGAATAATAATCATCATCATAATAAAAACAAAAATAATAACAGCAAAACAAAATACCTGTAATTTAATAATCACATCTCTCTATCTCCATTTAACAAGGAATCTTTACAATGAATTTCGTGACAACACACTTTCTCTCTCTCTCTCTCTCTCTCTCTCTCTCTCTCTCTCTCATCTCTCTTCTCTCTCTCTCTCTCTTCTCTCTCTCTCTCTTCTTCTCTCCCCTCCTCTCCTCTCTCCTCTCTTCTCTCTCTCTCTCCCCTCCTTCCTCTCCTCCTTCCTCTCACTCTCTCCTACGTTGACTGCATGACCTTGACACGTCGCTGGAACTCTCGCTCTAGTCTGTTGCTCATGCACACGCAACACCGCCAGGCCACCATGCAGCGAGAGAGGGTCCTTGTTTTCACCTAATTTCTCTCTCTCTCTCTCTATTATCCTCTTTGTTTTCCTCTCTCTCCTCTTGAATTTATCACTTTGTTTTTCTCTCTCTCCCTCATGATTTATCTCTTTGTCATTTCTCTGTCTCCTGTCTCCATGTCTCTCTGCTCTTGAATTATCTCTTTGTTTCCTATCTCTCTCATCTCTCTCTTGACATTTCTTTTGTTTTCTCTCAAATCTCCCTCATGAATTATCTCTTGCTTCTCTCGTCTTTTATCTCTCTCTCTCTTGAATTATCGCTTTTGTTTCTTTCGCTCTCTCTCTCTCTCTGCTCTCCCTTGAATTATCTCTTTGTTTTTTGATTTCTCTCTTTCTCTCTTACTCTCTCCATCCCTCATCTCTCAGTCATCCCCCCTCGCCTCCTCTCACCTCTCTCTTCTCCTTCTCCTCTCCTCTCTCTCCTCTCTCCTTTTCTCCTCTCTAATTATTTCTTTGCTCTAGTCCTGAATCTCAATATCTTTCTTGCATCCAGAACTATTATCTTCAGTCTTCACTCCTGCGAAAACCGTGCCCAACAAATTATCTCTTTATAAAGATTGTAATATGTCATAGCATAATCATATGCAAAACTAATTGAATATACGCTCTTTATCTAACGGTTGTACTTCATATGCTTCATCAGAAATCATTAATATACTCTTTATCAAAGGGTTTGTCACTCTCATAGCATATCTTCATATCTGCATACATTTATAGAAGACTCTTTTCAGGTTGTCATGCATCCATATGCACTAAATGCATATTATATAACTTCTTTATCAGGTTGTACATCATATGATTATAGATATCATAGCTATTTCTAATCTTATCAAAGTTGTTACATCATTAATTCTCTCTCTCTTTCCTCAGGATATCCATAGCATATATATACTCTTTATAAGGTCTGTACATCATGCATACTCATAGATATTATAAATATCTTTATAAGGTTCTACATATAGCATATCACAGCATATATAGTATCATAGAACCCCATAAGACTATACTACTATAGCATAACGCATCATAGCATATCATGATATCAATACTGCTTAGAGGTGTACACCATAGCTATCTAGCATATCGATAAGAACACTCAAGATATTAACTACTAATTAGATCCACAGCTTTGTAACAAGTTCTTCGCACTAAGCGATTTATGCTACTCCTCGCTCGCGTACTGTTGCATACACGTAGACGCAGAGCGCCCCACGGATTGGCTCTTAAAGGGGGACGTGCACCACAGAGAATTGCTGTTGTCACGGAATAAAGTATGTAAATGGGATCTGCATGTGTGATTAAATACTGCAAGGGCTTCGGATTTTTCGTTTCCTTCTATCATTGGCTAATTATGCGGTGGAGAGATGTGATTATTCTTACGGTGTGTGGGTTTTCGTTTCGTTTTATCGTCTTTGTGTTTTTTTATTACTTTTGTTTAGTATTATTGTTTTTTGTTTTATTGTTCTCTCCTCTCTCTCCTCTTGCATAATACATCATCATCACTTTATCTCATTGATGAATCATTATCATCGTATTCGTTCATGTCATCGTCATGCGTCATCGTCTCGTCATCGTCATCGTCATCGTCATCAGTCTCGTCATCGTCATCGGGTCATCGTTCACTCTGTCATTCATCATATCATCCATCATGCATTATCATTAATCATTATCATTATCATTACTCATTATATTTCAGGTTATCATATTCATCATCAATCATCATCATACATCATCATCCATCATCTTCATCATCCATGATCATCATCATCATCATCAGTATCATCATCACTCTCCTTTCTCCTCTTCAGCTCTCCTCTTCCCTCTCTTCCTCTCGGCGAGTCTCTCTCTCTCGGTTCTCTCTCTCTCTTCCCATCTTTTCCCTCTTAAGGCCAATCTCTCTGTTTTATCTCTCTCACGTTCCCTTTCGTTGAAGAAGAACGTCTCAATCTGCGCAAACATACCCGAGAAGTTGTGATAATATAAAAAAAT